GGATATGGCCAGTATTTGACATTTTCCGTGTCAGACCCGCGGCTCTTTCATCCGTGAATTACAGCCAGTCTCTGCAACACACACACGTCGCTTTGTCTTTCTCTAACATCCACCCCCACCCGACTACTCTCTCCCACTCTCGCTTCCGTTCTTGTTCGCTTTTCTGTTTTCCTCTTCCTTTCTTTTTTTTTGCTCTCTCTCTCTCTTTCATTTACTCTCTGTCTTATTCTCTCTCACTCTCTCACTCGTTTTCTTCTTCTTCTTCTTCGATTTCTTCTCGTATCTCTCTCTCTCGTCGTCTTCTTCTCGTCTCTCTCTCCACTTTTCCTATTCCTCTCTTTCTCTCTCTCTCTCTTCTCCGTCTCTCTCTCTCTCCTCTCTCTCTCATCTCTCGTCTCTCTCTCTCTCTCTCTCTCTCTCTCTCTCTTTCTCTCTCTCTCTGTCTGTCTGTCTTTCTGTCTGTCTGTCTCTGTTGTCACGAGTCTACAGCAGTGAGGTCGCGGGTGGGTAACGTACGGTTAGTGGCATGCAGGCAATGAACTCAGCGGAAAACATTAAGGTGAACCTACGCGCTAACCACGCACAGAACACATAAGTCGCGCACACTGGTCGCAATTGGGCCTGGGGATAGCAAGCGAAAGTGTACGCGTCCATCCGTGCACTTGGTCGCAGGCTCGTGATTAATCACTGATACTCTTGTAACGTAAACAGGGACGAACGACAACAGAAAATACTATTAACGAACATGGGACGTTGTCGGGGCACAAAGCTAAACGATGCAATTGGTAATCATCGGGTCAGACAGAAGAGTACTTACTGAGTTTTTCTATGGACTTGTCACGGGGGACTCTAGTCAGCATTCTTTATGCACCTTCACCCAACTTGCGGTGTTAATTTACTGGAGAGTGAGGGTGAAGGACAGGATGAGTACGAGGGTTGATGGTCAAAGGAAGGAAGAAGCGTAGCAATGCGGTTACTCCACCGATCCTACCAACGTGGAAACGGATTGACAACCTTAAAGAGTTGTATGTAGTCCTACACATTTACACGACAGTTTGTCAGCACGTGCATCACTATGGCGACAGTTGCTGTTGCTCACATTGTTGTTACCAATCATTACTGTTCACAAGGGCGACAATAGAAAAGGGGAATGGGCTACAGCCCCTACAGCCCCTTCCCCTCCGCCGGGAGAAAGGGCTACAGCCCCTTCTACATGCAGCTACAGCCCCTTCCCCTCCGCCGAGAGAATGGGCTACAGCCCCTTCCCCTCCGCCGGGAGAAAGTAATTTAAACTCGTCGGGAAATCCATGAGACATTTTGCTCTCGTTCTTTAGGCCTACCTGTAGCCCGGTGCTGTTCACAGTGACTTGCGAAAATAATTGACAAGATAAAAAGTTCAATTATCTGTACATCTGTTGTAATACAGTTTATCAATAGCTATAGATCAAGAAATTATTTTCGAGTAAAAACGCTAAAGATGAAGTTTGAATCTTTATAGCTTGAAAAAACCCCGATGTACTTGTTTTAGATTTGAGCTTTTGGCCCCCTTATACTCGAAATGTAGGTTTAGCCCTCGCCTGTCGGAGGCCTTATATATATACAGCCCCACACCGTCGAATACCTTTGCCACGCCTTCCACTCTCACACACACGCGCGCGCAGACCTTGCCTTTAGGCATCGCGACATGCTGATTAAGAATATATATGGTGTTGGGGGTGAGCTCTTACGGGGGGGGAAAAAGATAGTCAGAAAGACAGACACAAAAACAGGCTCGCCCTTTATATAAGAGATATTGAAGATAACATTGTGAAATAACAGGAAATTGTTGTAAAATAAAAAAATTGTTTCTTAGAATATTTGGTTTCTGATAAACATGTTATGTGTGTCATACATCATGCTGCTTTCTCTATAGAACTAATAACAACGACGGGCGTTATATCCTTGAATGCGTACTTAGGCGTAGACGAAGTTTGATTAATGTACGCGCTCCACAAAATATACGCCTGCCACTACCTCTTGTGCTAATAATAACAAATGTCACTATAGCGGTATATAGTTGATTTGTGTGTGTTCGGTGTGACAACGTCGAGGTCGCGAGCATTCTGTGCTCGCTTCCTGTACTATCCCTCACCCACACGCCTAGATACAAGTCAACGGAGTATACGTAACGTGTCTTCACTGGCGGACACGTCTCGCGTTATTACCTTACCGACCGATTGCGTCCGCGTTTTAAATCATGACGACGAATGCCGCTTGAATGCTTGCAGGTCGTGGTCAAGGCAACGTCTACCTCGTCGTTAGTACAAACAGCAATCAACGCTAGTGGCTCGAGGAACAACCACACGCGACGGCACACGGCACCGTACCCTCTATACACTCCAGAGCGTCTAGATCCCGGCTAAACCACTATGGCTACCGACAGTCCTGTGAGCGGGACACGTGACGACAGTGGATCGTCGGCAGACGATACGACGACGTCGCCGTCGGACAACGGCCGGGCGACGGGCACCGGCTCGCCGACAAACAGTACAAACTCGGAGACGGATAGCGGCATCGGAGTTACGGTGAATCGCAACCCAGTCTACAACAGCAACTGGAGCGAGGCGGAGGAGGCGACGGGGAGGGTGAACCACGGCTTCGCGACAACGGACGAGAATAAAGAAGAGAAACCTGCCGAGTATTTCCTGCCAGTCCCGCCCGCTGAGCCTATACCGACCGACAAGTAAGTAGGCCTGCGTGCTGCGGATGTTGAGGTACTGAAGGGCGACATTCGGCGGTCGTTACCACGGACCTATATTCGCACGTACCCGCGCATAAAAACATGATTATTATATTATTGATGCGAGAAATATTTGCAGTGTCACTTCGGATGCAGGATAACAGAAGCTCATCATAACAATTCTTTTATCAGAAGTCCATCTTCTTATCTGTTGGACTTCTGATGCTAACGTGTCTGCACGCCTACTGTGAACGCGATAGTTTAGAATGTCGTCACAGATTCATCTGATCACATGATTGAATCTGTGATTGTGATTGAATCGTTGCTTCTAATATGTGCAGGTAACGTGTTATGTTTACGCCTACTCATGAACAAAATCGCCGAGATGTAACCACATAAACGCTTTATACACAAATACACCCATAAACAAAAACATGCATATACACAAACACAAATGCACACGTACACACGCGCGCGCGCACGCACGCACGCATGCACACGCACACTAATGAGAATGGAAGAGATCGAGGGGGAGACAAGGGGTAGCCGCAGTTCGTTGCTCTTCGTGTGCAGTGGTGTGAGGTGAGACTGTGCAGTCAAATTCCGTTATAGATGACAGAATCTAACGATGGGGTTCCCATTGCAAATCAAAAATGATTGTTCGCCGTATTCACTGTTTTATCACCAGCTATTTGAAGTTTCTATACCACGCTGCGATTCTATTTCTGTTAAATGAATTAGAATGCCCCAGACCGACCCCGCCTAAAATAAATGTATTAATTCATTATATATATATATATATGCCCGTGTCGGTCAGGTGTATGGTTAGTCAGGTTTCCAACATGCAAATTTGAAATTTCCGTGATATTCTTAAAAAATTCTACTGCGTCGAACATGATGAATGTAAACAAGTATTTATTTTTTAGGTAATCGCTGCGTAAATGTGTTATCTTCATCTCTCACACGCGAGATCAAAGGTCGGACAAGTGAAATAGGTGAAGTGATGGCGGGTCAACTGAAGCATGCATGATATGTGGAATTTTATTGCACGTTGACAGGTCGCGAACCTACAGGGACGAAGACGACGAGCCTCACAAGATCCACTTCATACAGAAAGGAAAAAGGACATGGCTGATAATCGCCGGGATTATAATTATCATCACCGTCGCTCTATTTCTAGCAGCGGTGTACATAGCAGGTAGGTTTACAGCGGTGTACATAGCAGGTAGGTTTACAGCGGTGTACATAGCAGGTAGGTTTACAGCGGTGTACATAGCAGGTAGGTTTACAGCGTGTACATATGCAAGGTAGGTTTACAGCGGTGTAACATAGCAGGTAAGGTTTACAGCGGTGTACATAGCAGTCAGGTTTACCAGCGGTGTGCATGGGAAGGTAGGTTTAACAGCGGTGTACATAGCAGGTAGGTTTAGCAGCGGTGTACATAGCAGGTAGGATTTTACAGCGGTGTCCATAGCAGGATAAGGTTTACAGCGTGTACATAAGGCAGGTAGGTTTACAGGCGTGTACATGGCAAGTAGGTTTACACAGCGGTGTATATGGGCAAATAGTTACAGCGGTGTACATAGGCAGGTAGGTTTACAGCGGTGTACATTAGGCAAGGTTAGGTTTTACAAGCGGTGTGGCATTAGCAGGTAGGCTTTATGGCAGCGGTGTGCAATAGCAGGGGTAGGTTTAAGCAGCGGTGGTGGCATGGCAGGTAGGTTAGCAGCGGTTGTTGCCACAGCACTTCTAAGATTGTGTGACGGCAATTTTTCTTTGTTTTTATTGAAACTGTGAAAGGTAAATATTGTAAATTAGGCAACGGCCAACGGAAATCGGATTGTTAGGAATTAAAGTCCACGCACCATTACCCACATTTTACGGCTTCGTCCACGTGAACACTGCTGGCCTACTGTTTGTTCAACCTCCTCAACATTGACATTTCCACTACCACCTCTTAGTACTGATAGTCTGGTACCTACTCTACGCTACGGTGGCCAAATTATTCCTGCGTCCGTTCCCTATTTCTGCTCTCTCATCTCTATCTTCTCTCTCTCCCTCACGCTCTCTGAGCTCGTCTCCTCTCATATCTTCTCTCTCTCTCATCTCTCTCTCTCTTTCTCTCTCTCTCCGCGCCCCTCTCTTTGCCGCTCTAGCCCCTCTTGCCTCTCTCTCTCTCCGTCTCCGTCCTCCAGTCTGTCTGTCTGTCTGCCTGCCTGCCTGCACTGCCTGCCTGCCTGCCTGCGTGCCTACCCTGCCTGCCTACCGGCCTGTCTCCCATACCTGTATGTCTGTCTGTCCGTATCATCGTATATTATATCATTCGGAACGCACCGTCCTCCGTCTATCGCATAGCTATCCTGCCACCGCGCTCCTTATTCGCACCCACACACACACATTCCGCCTGCGTGGCAGCGGTACAACCCGCTGCGGTCAGAGCAGTAGCGCATGAGTTTGCGGCGGCTGTGCGTAGCCAGTAGCATGCCACAACCTGCCCACGCAGGCAATGCTCGCATTGTCCAGGTGAGTAGTCCATACATTGCCGCGCCCATGTGGAACGAACCGCTGGCAAGACGCCGCGTCAGAAGATGCAGCCTATATACGCTGTTCACAGCTCTGACCACATCAGCGACAACAAAGAAACAGTCTAGCTTACCTCGAGCACGCTTTATCATACAAGTCACTAGTGAAGCGTTTGAAAGCGGCAACACTAAATACCTGTGCGAATATCGGCGCTCAGCATAGCACCGCTATACAGAAATTCAGAAATAAAAACCCGAGTATCCCTAAGAAAATAATGAGCGGCGAACGTTTCGCTCGCACAAGCATTTCAAGAAATTACTCTCTCATACATCATACAGAAAAAATTCTATGAAACCAGAACAGGCAGGCTATCATGTAGGAAGTCGTATATTAATCTAGTATATGTGTTTTCTAGAAGATCGAACAACATTTCAACCCTCTCAAGATAATGACCTACCCTAAGCATTCTTATGGTGTTCCATAATTGGCCATGTGCGCAGCCTGTTCCAGAGTACCATTTTATCTATATACGACGTCGGACACGTTGTATTCTATATGCGTCGCATGGTACTCTGAACAATGCTGGCGGCGATGGCAAATTCATGGAATAACGTTACAATCCCGAGTAACTTGAAAAATTCGGCCCTTTGTATCCGCCGGCAGAAGGAGGAGGTATGCTTGTAAGCTGACGCCGGCGAGGTCGCAGCTGCACATTTTAGCGGTTCTACGATGAGAATCTTTGAAGTCAATCTGGTGAGAATAAGTAAAATAGAGAGTTTGAAATGACCATGATTTGCTGTCTGCGCGATTCCCAATGCATTTTCGCTTTACTGATTCTTGAACAGGGTCTCGCACGCGCGTTATATATATATATAATAGTATATATATCGATCTATCAATCTATCTTATCATCCCACTTCTCTCTCGCTCCTCTCTGTTTCTTGTCTTAGTCTCTATCACTCTCTCCTGCTCTCTCTCTGCTCTCTCGTCGTCTCTCTCTCCTCTCTCTCTCAGTCTCCTCTTCTCATATCACTCTCTCTCTCTCTCTCTCTCTCTCTCTCTCTCTCTCTTTCTCTCTCTCTCTTTCTCTGACTCTCTATTTCTCAGAAGCTCCTTCCACAAACTGACATGTTAACCATTCTATATCTTTACTGTACTACTCGGCAATTTTATTTTCGTGTCAAACAGCTTTAATCATCAGGATTATAGCCAGTATCTGCAATCGCACAGATCGCTCAGACGTTTTTTTCCGTTAATATATATATATATATATATATTATATATCACTGCTACTGCCACATGCTACCATTCGACTTATCTTCAGAGTGTCACTCTGCCAGTATTTGACATTTTTCGTGTCAGACCGGCTCTTTCATCGTGAATTACAGCCAGTCTCTGCAATCACACACACGTCGCTTGTCTTTCTCTAACATCCACCGCCCCCACGCGACTACTCTGCTCGCCACTCCTCCGCTTCCGTTCTTGTTCGCATTTTCTGTTTCCTCTCCTTTCTTTTTTTGCTCTCTCTCTCTCTTCATTGTACTCTCTGTCTTATTCTCCTCTCACCTCTCTCACTCGTTTTCTTCTTCTTCTTCTTCGATTTCTTCTCGTATCTCTCTCTCTCGTCGTCTTCTTCTCGTCTCTCTCTCCTTTTCTATTCTCTCTCTTTCTCTCTCTCTCTCTCTCTCTCTCTCTCTCTCTCTCTCTCTCTCTTCTCTCTCTCTCCTCTCTCTCCTTCGTCTCTCTCTCTCTTTCTCTCTTCTCTCTGTCTGTCCTGTCTTCTGTCTGTCTGTCTCTGTTTGTCAACGGTCTACAGCAGTGAGGTCGCGGGTGGGTAACGAGTACGTTAGTCGGCATGCAGGCAATGAACTCAGCGGAAAACATTAAGGTGAACCTACGCGCTAACCACGCACAGAACACATAAGTCGCGCAACACTGGTCGCAATTGGGCCTGGGGATAGCAAGCGAAAGGTGTACGCGTCCATACCGTGCACTTGGTCGCAGCTCGTGATTAATCACTGATACTCTTGTAACGTAAACAGGGACGAACGACACAGAAAAATACTATTAACGAAGCATGGGACGTTGTCGGGCACAAAGCTAAACGATGCAATTGGTAATCATCGGGTCAGACAGAAGAGTACTTACTGAGTTTTTCTATGGACTTGTCACGGGGGACTCTAGTTAGGCTCGTAGGGTCTATGTCCCCCTGACCTCTGTTTGACCTCGCTCGTTTAGCTATTTCTGACTAACCTAACCCTAACCTAATCCTAACCCTAACCCTAACCCTAACTTATATATATTATAATATTATATATATATATATATTAGTCAGAAATAGCTAAACGAGCGAGGTCAAACAGAGGTCAAGGGGACATAGACCTTATCTGCTCTAGTTAGCATTCTTTACGCACCTTCACCCAACTGCGTGTTAATTTACTGGAGAGTGAGGGTGAAGGACAGGATGAGTACGAGGTTGATGGTCAAAGGAAGGAAGAAGCGTAAGCAATGCGGTTACTCCCACCGATCCTACCGAACGTGGAAACGGATTGACAACCTTAAAGAGTTGTATGTAGTCCTACACATTTACACGACAGTTTGTCAGCACGTGCATCACTATGGCGACAGTTGCTTGTTGCTCACATTGTTGTTACCAATCATTACTGTTCACAAGGGCGACAATAGAAAAGGGGAATGGGCTACAGCCCCTACAGCCCCTTCCCCCGCGCGGGAGAAAGGCTACAGGCCCCTTCTACATGCAGCTACAGCCCCTCCCCCTCCGCGAGAGAATGGGCTACAGCCCCTTCCCCTCCGCCGGGAGAAAGTAATTTAAACTCGTCGGGAAATCCATGAGACATTTTGCTCTCGTTCTTTGGCCTACCTGTAGCCGCGTGCTGTTCACAGTGACTTGCGAAAATAATTGACAAGATAAAAAGTTCAATTATCTGTACATCTGTTGTAAATACAGTTTATCAATAGCTATAGATCAAGAAATTATTTTCGAGTAAAAACGCTAAAGATGAAGTTTGAATCTTTATAGCTTGAAAAACCCGATGTACTTGTTTTAGATTTGAGCTTTTGGCCCCCTTATACTCGAATGTAGGTTTAGCCCTCGCGCTGTCGGAGGCCTTATATATATACAGCCCACACCGTCGAATACCTTTGCCACCTTCCCTCTCACAGCACACGCGCTTGCCGCGCACCCCGCGCGCGACACACACCCACACACACACACACACACACACCACACACACCACAACACACACACACACACACGCCCAGCACACACACACGTACACGCGCGCACACCACACACACACACACACACACACACACACACACACACACACACCACACACACACACACACACACAACACACACCACACACAACACACACACACATACACACACACACACAACACACACAACACACAGCACACACACACACACACACACACACACACACACGACACACACACACACACACACACACACACACACCATCGGGGACCTTAGCTTCCCTGTCAAGGACCTTAGCCCCTGTTTTAGGCAATCGCTGGTGTCACACCGCATTAGTGAGATCTTTGGCCAACACCCGGAAGGGAAATTATCACGAACCGGGAATGGTGTGTAACTTTGCTTCGCTTCAAAGGCGAACAGCATACAGGCGCAGTAGTAGCAGGAAATCGCGCGTTGTCGAGCGTTGTTTGTCTAAACTTCAGCACCGAATCTGGTGCAGGAATATAGACAAACCCTGGTCACCTAGCTGCGTCCAGCGGTGTTTCTCAGCGGTGACTCTCTGTACGGAAATACAGTAGCAATAATATGATGCATTCTTACTATATATTTTCTTTCTTTACTTTAGTTGCCACGTATAGTAAAATCACGCCCGCAATCTTAATATGGAAGAGGGCTTTGACCTTTAATATCACCCTAGGCCTAGTGCCTTAATATTTAGAATACAGGTTTCTGAGATACTTTATGAGCGTGAGCTTTTCTTATATCATATCCTGCTTTGTATCCTTACTGAGAGATTACCCACGATTTCTTATTCGTTGATTCTGTCCTTCTACTCCGCTGCACGCTACGTTATACTACTTGTGTAAGTCTATGGTGTTACTCCTGGTGTTACTCCTGTACAATGTACAGCAGCGCATTTATATTTTTAACGGATATTTATTTCCAAAGAATTGCCAATGCTACGATCCGTGTTTATGGCCCTGTGTTTATGCCGTGTTTAGGCCTAGCGTGTTAGGTGTTTGCGTCCTAGACGTACGTCCACCGTGTATGACAATGCAAACGCAATGTCGGAAGAAATTAAAACATTACATCCGAGAATTTACGATCCGGACATTACATTAGAGAAATTACATCCGTCCTCTGCATTCGATATCGCAAGGGTCATACATTTGCATTGTCATACGCGGTGTGTTTTGGACGTAGGTCTAGGACGCATCGTGTAAATAGGCCTTAACACCAATGTGCAGTCCTTATTGCTGCGGGTATGCCTTATATCTGACACCTGCGTGACTCCGAACCTACGCATGAATGACTCAAGCGTTAATTTATAAGAACTCTATCTCAGTTCTCGCAGATGTTTGCGCGCGCCGTTTATAGCTTAGTAGATGCAATACGCACACGGGAGAGTCATGGTCAGCTACGTGCTCTGCCCGAGACACGGATGGGCAAATATCTTGGTGTTTAAATTTCCAAGCATGGTGTGTTGTGTGGGCAATATGGTAAGCCGACGCAAGTACATGGCTATGTTGGATTGTCCCGCGTACCCGCTAGGATCTAGATGCGAGAAAATAATCGTGACTCTTCCCAAGAAGTTGATTAAAGCACCCTATACGCAAATATAGTACTACACATGTACAGTACTATATTAATACATACACGTTGTGTCGTGGCTTTGCCTTTAAATAAACTTTAACTCTTTCATCCGATTTTACTGGTCACTGCCTTATAAGAGATATTTAGAAATTACTGTAATTCTTAACTGTTGTTTAGCAAATGATAACGCCCGAGTAAATTGCATATGTATGACGAAGCCAATAAATTAAGGTTTGATTTGAAAAAAGTCAAAGGTGTATTCCACGCGCTATAAATTATATCACATATGGCTACGACTATGATCACATCAAGCGTTGCCATATGAAATGTATACGAAAACAATAACAGTAAACGGGAGCAGTAACATTTTCAATATACAGTTTACACGATGATAATGACGTCATTGTGCGAGAGTATTCACAAACAATGCTTTCCGCGGATTGTTTATAAATTGATAGCGGGGCACGGACCGCTGCTGAGATGAGCGCACTTGCCATGTACATGGCGGTTAGCACCAATCTCTCACCGATGATCATTATGAAAGCATTCACTCTCACCTAATCGATTGTGTTTTTTTTTATTTGCAGCCGGGTTGATCAATGGCAAGGAACATTACTCAGCCGCGTCCAGGCAACAGGACCCAAGGGCAGGTACACATGAAAATTTGATTAAAGTTTCTGAATCAAGTAAAAATGACTCGTTAATTACCGCGCCGTGATTTACCCACTGCCTGCAACACGCCCCCCCCCCCCCGCGCGTGCATCTTGCTGAACTTGTTTTCATTATCAAAGTCACGTTGACAACATAAAACGGCAGCTTTATAGACATGAAGGCGGGTGGGCACGACCCCAACGTAATCTCACGCTTCAAGCAAAGAAAACCATGTTATTTTAACACGCTTTGAGCAAAGAAGTTTTAGTGGATACCAAGACAACCCTCTCTCTAAGCACGAGAACTGTCAAAATTCTATCAGTTTTCCATGCTGTCAGCGTTAAGCGTAGACATTCTAGTAGATTCAATCACAAAACGCTGCAAGCAAGAGAATGTCCATTTATTCTGCACTATAGCTCGTAGCTGGAGGCCACCGCGCCGAATGCGCACCGTGTGCGGGGTCTATGAGTATATAAGCATTCTGCCAAGCTCACCACTAGCTGAAGGAAAACTAGTATAGCTAGCGCGTGGCATGCGGATAATTTCTCAGCAAGGAATGCCCGCCACGGCGTCTGGACGGACAGACGACCACGTTGGTGCCGTATTGCCACATACTATAGTAATTATAAACCCGTAATGACCAGATGAACCGGTTCCCTTAATAAACACGTTACTATTAAAATTTTGATGCAGGCAAAGCCTTCATGCTTGCTCGTGTGCGCATACACATCGGTTAGGAATGTCGATGATGGCTGGCGCAGAATGCTAATGCTCAACCAATGGAGATTACCCTAAATCCGAGAAAATGGTTCATTGTTCAGAAGCGCGAATAACGTCTGTTGCGAGATTGTAGATCTTGTACTGTCAGTTGGTTTGCTTTTTTGACTGGGTTAGAAACACATAAGCCAACCCATGCTGTACAATATAAGCTCTCCCCGGAATGCATCGTTTTGATACAGTTATAGCATAGTTAGCAACACGTGGCCCAGATCTTATATATGCGCGTAGACGTTGTACAGACACATGCAGGTATCGTCGCCCGCATGAAGCACCGAGTTACCGCTATAAAATTATATCTGCATTCAATTCCGTAGAATATACAAAAGCAACTCTGCGTATTATTTGAGCGATATCGCAGTTATAGTATGTAGCAGATTCAGCATAGCATCCTTATAGGATAGCATAGCAGCATAGCAGACTATAGGATGTGTGTGTATGTGTGTGTATACCCGGCTGTCATCACTAATTTACAGAGGATGTGATAGTAGGCGACATAACGATAGTAAATCGAGAATTCATCAAGAACTACGAAGATCCAACGTCAAACGACTACAAACAACTGAAAAAGGAAGTTGAAAACGAGGTGAGTTATCAAAATCATTAAAGCGTTTTTTTACAACCAATTCAGGCTGTGCAAAATAATAATGTCACCATTATGCATTGATAATATATATAATCTCTCTCTCTCGCTCTCTTTGCCGCTCTAGCCCTCTTCCTCTCTCTCTCTCCGTCTCCGTCCTCGTCTGTCTGTCTGTCTGCCTGCCTGCCTGCCTGCCTGCCTGCCTGCCTGCGTGCCTACCTGCCTGCCTACCGGCCTGTCTCCCTACCTGTATGTCTGTCTGTCCGTATCTCGTATATTATATCATTCGGAACCACCGTCCTCGTCTATCGCAATAGCTCGCTGCCACCGCGTCCTTATCCACCCACACACACATTCCGCCTGCGTGCACGGTAGCACCTGCGGCAGAGCAGTAGCTGGCATGAGTTGGCGCGTGCTGTGCGTAGCCAGTAGCATGCACAACCTGCCCACGCAGGCAATGCTCGCATTGTCAGGTGAGTAGTCATACATTGCCGCGCCCTGTGGAACGACCGCTGGCAGACGCGCGTTCAGAGATGCAGCTATATACGCTGTTCACAGCTCTGACCTACATCAGCGACAACAAAGAACAGTCTAGCTTACCTTCGAGCGCGCTAAGCACTGAGCACGCTTTATCATACAAGTCACTAGTGAAAGCGGTTTGAAAGCGGCAACACTAAATACCTGTGCGAATATCGGCGCTCCATAGCACCGCTATAAGAAATTAGAATAAGAACCCATAAGAAATAATGACGGCGAACGTTAGCTCGCAACAACATTTAAGAAAATATCTTCTCATACATCAACAGAAAAAATTCTATGAAACCAGACAGCAGGCTATCATGTAGGAAGTCGTATATTAATCTAGTATGATGTGTTTTCTAGAAGATCGAACCCATTTCAACCCTCTCGTATAATGACCTACCTAACATTCTTATGGTGTTCCATAATTGCCATGGCGCAGCCTGTTCCAGAGTACCATTTATCTATATACGACGTCGGACACTTGTATTCTATAATTGCCGTCGCATGGTACTCTGAACATGCTGCGCGATGGCAATTATGGAATACGTTACAATCCCGAGTAACTTGAAAATTCGGCCCTTTGTATCCCCGGCAAGAAGAGGAGGTATGCTTGTAAGCTGACCCGGCGAGGTCCAGCTGCACATTTTAGCGTTCTAGATGAGAATCTTTGAGTCATCTGGTGAGAATAAGTAAAATAGAGAGTTGAAATGACCATGATTGACTGTTGCGCGATTCCCAATCATTTTCCTTTACTGATTCTTGAACAGGGTCTCGCACGCGCGTTATATATATATACCGGTATATAATATATATATATCGATCTATCAATCTATCTCTATCTCCCACTTCTCTCTCGCTCTCTCTGTTTCTGTCTTTATGTCTCTATCATTCTCTCGCTCTCTCTCTCTCTCTCTCTCTCATCTCTCTCTCACTCTCATCTCTCTCTCTCCTCTTCTCTCTCCCTTTCTCTCTCCCTCTTCTCTGACCTCTCTAATTTCTCGGGAGAGCTCCTTCCACAAAGATCCATTGTAACCATTCCTATATTCTTTACTTGTAGCTATCTTCGGCAATTTATTCGCTGTCAACCAGAAAAAAAATACATCAAGGAATTATACGCAGCTAATCGCACACAATCGGCAACGATTCGCGGTCCCAAGCGAACCGTTATATTCTTTCAGCCTGTTAATATATATAGTATTACTATAATAGTTAAATATCGACTGCCTACTGCGCCACATGTCTACCATTCGACTTATCTTCAGAGTGTCACTCTGCCAGTATTCGTGAACATTTTTCGTGTCAGGAGCCGGCTCTTTCATCGTGGAAATTACAGCCAGCTTCTGGCAAATCACAACCTCGCTTTGCTCTTTCTCATAACATCCACACGGCGCCGCAGCTTCGACTACTGACTCCTGCCCACTCTCCGCATTCCGTTTGCGGTTGTTCGCATTTTCTGTTTTCTGCTCTTGCCTTTCGTTGGTTTTGCTGCTCGTCGTCGGTCGTCTTGGCATTTACCTCTGCGTGTTCTTAAGTCTCCCGTCTCACATCTCGTCACGGAGCGTTTTCTTCTCTTCTTTCTTCGATTGTCTCTCGTATCTCGTATCTCTCGTCTTCTTCGTTCTCGTCTCTTCTCTCCCCCCTTTTGTTGTTGTTTGGTTTCTGAAGTTTCTCGTCTATCTTCTCTCGTCGTGTCTCGTCGAAGTCTGGTCTCTATCAGCTCTCATCTCATCTCTCAGCATCTCTTTCCGTCGTCTCGGATCTCTTCTCTCGATTCATCTCTCTCTCTATTTCTCTCTCTCTCTGTCTGTCTGTCTTCTCTGTCTGTCTGTCTTCTGTTGTCCACGAGTCTACAGCAGTGAGGTGCGCGGGTGGTAACGTACGGTTTAGTGGCATGCAGGCAATGACTCACGCCGAAAATAATCTTAAGGTGAACCTACGCTGCGTATACACCATCGTCCTACGACCGTGTCGCCCACAAAGAACCTATAAGTCGCGTGCACACTGGGTCGAATGGGCCTCGGGATTAGCAAGCGCAAAGTGTACGCGTCTCATCCGTTGCGGCGCTGCCGTTGGGCTCGCGACGGCGCTCGCTGATTAAGTTTGCACGATGACTCATTGTAACGTCAAACAGGGACGAACGACAAATAACAAAATAAGACTAATTGAACGGAACGATGGGGACGTTTCCGGGGGCAACAAAGCTAAACGGCAAATGGGGTAATGGCATTCGTTGGGTCAGGACAGCAGATATTGTACTGATTACTTACTATTATGAGAGATTTCTTCTGTAATGGACTCTTGTCACGGTGGCACCTCTAGGTTAGCCGCTCGTAGTCTATGTCCCCCGCCCCTGACCCCCATTTGCCGTCTTGTTTTGACCTAGCCTCCGTTTAGGCTATGTCTGACTAAACCCTAACGCTAACTCTCTAATCCTAAACCTAACCTAACTCCCTAAAAGCAACCCTATATATTAGTATATTATTAATATAAATATATAATATTAGGTCAGAAATAGCTAAACCGAGCCGGAGGTCAATACAGAGGTCACGGACATACCTATCTGCGCTAGCTTACATTTCTTCTACGCAGACCGTTCACAATGCCAACTGCGCGTGTTAAATTGTACTGGAAGAGCTGAGGGTGAAGGGACAGGATGAGTACGACGAGGGTTGCATGGAAAGGAATGGAAGAAGCGTAGCAATAGCGGTTTCCTTTAACTCCTCCAGACTTTACGGCGAACTCCACGGTCTACCAACGTGGAAACGGATTTGACTCAACCTAAACGATTGTACTGTATCCTATCAACATTTAGCACGAACAGTTCGTCACACGTGGCATTTCATAGGCGACAGTTGGCTGTTGCTTCACATTGTTGTGTTGACTCGTGGCCAATCCAGGTACTGTTTGTCAGCCAAGGGGCGACATTTTTTTTTTATGTTAGTATAAAGGGAATGGGCTATCAGCCCCTATCAGCCCCTTCCCCTCCGCCGGCCAGGAGAAGGCTAACAGCCCCCGTTCTACTGGCACGGCTACAGCCCTTC